GTAATTGAAATCGATGGGCGATTCCTCCCGGCCCGGTCGGCTCGTACCCGTTTCACGAGCCGCGTCCGTGAGCCAAACGTGTTCACCGCGAAGGTTGCAAAATTACAGAAAAGCGGTGCCACGCGATTTAGCCGCGACGAGGTAAAATCGAAACGCTGTGTCGACGCGCGACGTTATCCTAAATCATCCAGCTGGAAACGCTGGTGAAACGACGATGGTTTGCGCGGACACTGGCCGCGTAACAACAGTAATCAAGACTGGCTGTAAAATTGCACGCAACTCGTCGAGTCGGAGTAAAAATTCTGACGAGATTACACGCTAAAATTCAATAGCCGCGACAAGCGTTTATGGTTCGTACACCTCTGGCCACGTTTTCAGTCGAGACGCGACTACTCGAAACGCCACGCCGCGCCGTGGCTCGAGAATACCGGACAATGTAATAAGAATAAGAAAATGAAGAAAAAAAGAAAAGAAAAAGAACTCATAAGCTAATGTCGGTGTATGTCGTTACAGCCGTAGCCGTGACCAGCAGCACCGTGCCGAGCAGCAGCTCAACCAGCACCGCAGTTTTGGGTGGAGGAGCGGCTGGAGTGCCACCCCCGCCACCACCGAGCGTCCTCAAGGGCGGAGATCGATTCTACCCAGGGGGCAGCATTCATCATCATCACGATCATCATCAACCGGCCACGGCGGCGCCGACCCTGCCCCACGTGCCCCCTCCGGCCATCTACCCCGTGCATCCGCATCAGCCTCCGATTCACAATGGACCGCCGTCCTCCTCGCCGCCCAAGACCACGATCGGCCAGAAGAAGAAGAACAGTACGTATAACAGCGCCCCACCGCCTCTTGCCACCTGCTCTCTTTGCCGCGAAACGAGTTTCTCGATGCTCCTCGCGACCATTATCTCGGCCAATGATTCTTTCCTTTTTTTTCTTCTCTCCTCCTTTCTCTCTCTTCTTTTTCTTCTTCTTCTTCTTCTTCTTCTTCTTCTCTGTTTTTTTCTTCCTTTCTTCTTCTTTCGTCGTTTTGTTTTGTTACGCGAAATTTCGCTCGTCGTCGCATCTTGTCGAAATTAATCGCCGTAGAGAGGGATCGTCTTATTAGTCGACGAGAAATTAGATCGTCTATGAGATGTCCGTTTTCGTCGAGCATCGTTGGTTACCTGCAATGTCGAGTTTAATTATCGGCAAGGTTAATGAGAGAAATTCGAGACGGTGTCGGATAAATGATTGCAGATAAAAAGGCACGGCCTGATCGGGGTGGACATCTCGCGAGAATGTACCATTGGTGTGTATCTCGCGGGAACATTGTCCCCTGCCGATGTCAGGCAGGAATACACTTTGCGCCGCGCGCGGTTAAGGTGTCTTTAATCGTTGCTTCCTTTTTGCACCGGCTGATAATTATCACTTTGTATCGAAATTACTGTTGCATAAAATTAAGATAAACCACTCGTCCCCGACGACTTTACTGCTCGTTATCGTTGTGTGAATCGTTTTTTCGAGACGAAGGAATTACCGGGTTATATCGGGGGTTCGTTATTAACACCGCGTAATTGATATTTCTCCTTTTCGAGAGTACGAGACACCGGGCCGTAGTCCCGCGAATTCTCCATCCCCACTATTTTCATTGTCGACCCCTCTCCAGGGCGGTTAGACGCGAGTGTAAAGTGGAGGAACGTCGTCGACGCTCCGGTCATTAAATTACCGTTATGTAGTTGAACGTGACGGTCCATTGCGTGCCAAACAATCATTTTATGTAATTCATTCGGCTTATCGTTCGGTCGCATTAAGTCGGATAAAGTAAATAACGAGCAAATAAATTTTAATGAGCTTTCAAATTATATCGTCCCTCGTCGTACCTTGTTCTACTTATTACAGCCGCCCGATGCCTCGTATAAACTTTCGAGGCGACACGCCTCGCGTACACGTCGTCTCCGCGTCGTTGAATTTGAAAACAACGATCCTTCTTTTACGTTTAGGACAGAGGACACCCTATATACGTGTTACGCCCATTTTCAAATAGAAAGAACAAAGTGGATAGCCACTTGGCGCCTCGATTACCATGTCGAACGGAAGACATTATTTAAAGAATTCCAAATGGAAAAAGTTTAATAGATTAAGGGACACCTCCGGACGTTGGAACTCGTGCCAGATGGAGAACAATCAAACGCGACGATGAATTCGATTCGTTCTCTCGGTGACCATCTGTCGACCATGCTCGCCCTTCTTATGTCGTCACCTACGATAATTTGACTTCAATATGCGCCGTGGATACGTGCACATTTGCATTTCAGCAGTAGTCGGGCTATCGTTATTAACGAGGCGCGATGCTCGAGGATCAAAGAGCGAATTCGTGTTCTCAAGATGTTGAATTGAAATTACTCGATGCATTTCTCGCCTAGTTCCGCCTCTCTTCTTAATAACCATTCGAATTTCTCGATGGTATCATAGGATCAGGACTTTCATATCCAGTAAAAGGCGCAATAACTGGTAGAAAATTAAGAGGTCGCTTTAGCTATGCGCATAGAGTCCCGGCTTACCGACCGGAGGTCACGGGTTCGATTCCCGCTTGATCCGTCAAATTTTTCCTCGGCTTTTGCAGTATTTTAAAGTTGTCCTCAAAAACCTATCGCGTCCAACAGAATTTACAACGTTATTCATGGCCTACAATGGCACTCTCCTAAGTCTCGAGAACATTTCGTCTCGAGCAAGGATAAAAGTTTCACAGCAAACCCACTACTCACCTATAAGCCGGAACCTGGATTGAAGTTAGAGCTTCCGCTTGGCTATCGTAATGAAGCAACTTTTTCAGTGGGACTGGGGCCTGGAAGTTTTTCACGGCAATTCGGAATAGGGGAATTTTAGGATTTCGATGTTCTTTGACCTCTTTCCTAGAAGATTTAACAACACTACTGTTATTTATTCTTATAAAAACAATTATAAATCTTTAATAGAATCTTATAAGCAAATATCACGTTGCACGGTTTGTAAAAAGGTAGAAAGTACTCCCGGAAGCTTGAAGGCATTACTAACTGTAAATCAGCATATAGACGCTTAAAACCCCTAGAATCATTGGCCATAAGGCATCGTTAGGAAAACGGTACTGGTACATTAATACCTTTATGATCGAAATTATGCAAGGAGCGTATACGCGTTTCGATCGTACAATGTGTCTAATACAAGGTAATAAACAGTAAGAGTTTATTAATCAGATAACCGAAGTAACGATAGGTACACTTTAACCTTTCATTTATTGAACTATTTTAGTTCAGTTACTCACCGATAATCCCTTCCATTCTTAGCCTAACATTTCATCGATATAAATGATCAACGGTTATGAAAATAAGAAATGTTTTTTCCTTTTTTGTGCCAACAGAGGAGTACTCGAATCACCCGAACGAAGTTGTGAAGAACGAAGAATTGACCTATAATGGAGCGAGTTCAAGCCAGATTCAGGATCGGTTCAGCCAGCTCGTGATACTGGTGACGGGAAGCTTGTTGATCAGCGCTATCCTGCCGCAGTTATTGCGGTGAAGCGACAACACTACCGACGAGAACGTATATCCCATACGTCGAAACCCCTTTTTCTGTGATTATCCTACGTTTAATTAATTTCTTGAGGCACGCGCGTGCGCTCGCGCGCGGCCGCCCCTCCATCGTGAAAAAAAAATTAATAAAACGCGCACGATTTATGGTCGGACTGCCTCGAGAGAGAAAGAGAACGAGAAAATTCAATCGGGATGGACGAAAGACAAAAAGGAACTACAACAGCAAAAACATAAATGAAAATAAAAGAAGATACGGTTAAGAAGAACGAAGAGTTGGCAAAAAAAAATAAAAATAAAAAATATGCAAATGTAAACGTTAAGAGAAGCGACACGCACGACACACGAGCAGCAACGACATATTGAAACTATTCGAAAACGAAGAACGAAGACGTAGGTAGTAAGATTACAAAGACGAAGAAAGATGAAACGAGGTGAAACGCTACTACTAGACACTATTATAGTATGCCCACTATTATCACTACTATAAATGGTAGTCGTATTGGTTGTCCTTCTTATCATTACGCTAATTCTAGGTATTTATTCGAAATACGAGAAAAGAGAACGAAGCCGTGAACAGCGTGCTAACTATCCTCGAGTGATATGAGACACGCGGTATATATTGTTAGATACGTCCGTCAGAAAAGCGTGAAAATTCATTCTTTCAGAGTTGGCACACTTCACGCACGCGATAATGTCGATTATATATCGCACGACTGATCGCGACGTTGATTGACGAACGGTCCTTTGTCACCGACTTCTCGATCGTTTACGCGATTAACAATTAAGATCGCAATAAAAGGAAGTCAACCAGTCGTATTGGACTAGGAAATTTATGTAGGAAACCAATTACTTAAGTAGTATGGTTTAACTTAACTTGCCATTTTAGTGTATGTATTACTTACCACTCGTTTTCTTCGTAATATTCTCAGTATCATGTCCGTGAAAACCGCGAATTTACACTTCTTATTTCACTGAGGATGAGATCGAACGTTTAGTCGCAATTAGCTACGACGATCGAACTGAACGATTAATTGCGATTAGTTGGAATAATCGAATGGTTACAATTAGTCGCGATTAGTCGAGACGGTCGAAACGAGATCTATCGAAGAAGAGTGTCATGGCGGAGGACCGTTCGTGCCGTGTTAAGAGTCGCGAACAGGATAATTAGCATGCGTGTAAATAAATTCCTAATGAATATGTACAAGTGGCCCTTGTCTCGTCCTCGGGGCGAGGGAATTTAAGAGAGTGCCGTATACTAGGTAAAATCTTATATATGACACATGGAAGAGTGCGATGACAGCGTGACTGAAGAAAATGGCAGAGTGTGATAGAATGTGACGTGCGTGCGTGTACACGCGTTGCGAGACGCGAATGTGCACCCGTGAATTACGAAGATCGCCCATTGGATAGTCGAGTGTCACAAAACTGTGTAAGGTGCGACGAACTTTTTCCTAAGTTCCGGCCGTGGTATCTCGCAACCGTGACACTACCACGAACACGTCAAATTTCGACGACAAGTAATCCGATATTCCTCGCTTCGATCAAGTTCGTCGAAAGGAAAGAGCGAGCGAACGTACGAAAGCATGGAAAATGCGTGAGAGAGACTGATCGCGGAACGAGAAATGAGAGGTGATGAATTTTTTGTATTATAGTTGTACCATACCGAACTCTATCTATAGATCTGTATTATATTTATTATCCGCTATTATTATGCTACGAATAATCACACTCGATATTCTATATTTACTAGTAAAAGAAAAAAATATCAAATTTAATAGCGAATAAATTACGTATTCGGCGGGGTAATGAAAAAAAAGATGAAAAAAGAAACGACATGACGCGAGCAAAACGATGAATTCACGACCCTTGTCATCATCGGATCCGCCGTTTGTTTTCTTCTTTTTTTTTTAATTTTTTTAATTTTGTTTAATTTTCCTCGTGTTATATTGCAGGAAAACGTTAAATCGTGCGCACTTGAGCGCGCTTTCGCGAAGTTCAACTAATCGGCCGTGCGATCGTCGGTTCCATTGTATCGTCCTTTGTTATCATCCGTTCTCTTCAGTTGTCCCTAATAATTCTCTTTTTTTTTATACTCTATTTATTGTACACCGCCAAGCAAACTTCGTTTCCGTACGCGTACTGACGAACGTACGCGCATGCAAGGTCGCATTTATTTGTAAAACGTACGGGATTACATGTATACATGCACGGTGATCACGATCGTTACGCGCGATCCCGCTCTGATCTGTCGCGTACGCCGATAACAACGCCCTCTTCGCAAGCGCTCAAGCTCCGTTCACGCTACGATTGCAGCTGATTTTTCTTGATGAACGCTAGTTCTTCTATGTGTATTGTACGATCATATATTGTACGCGTATTCTCCGCGTTAATCGTAAGTCGTCGTTTTTCACGCGATCGCGATCACGGATCCAACCACGTTTCTATCGAGCATACACAGTACCGCCATAGTCACAGCGAACGTCAAGTAATTGTATCTCGGATTTAATGGCACGAAACACATTGCGCCGCCGATGCATTGCGCATACTGCCGCGCATCGTTGTGGTGCGAACGTAATTTGCAACCTTTAAGTCGCGTTCCCGCCAATATTGCATTGGTCGTACGACGACGGTGGCGCTGTCTCGCCATGAGGTACGCAGTTATCACACGCGTGCCTCCATCCCTCAACCGGAATCCGAAACTGTCGTTTCGTGATACAAACCGATTTAACAGATTTTTCTCTGCGTCAAAGCATCCCGTACGACGACGGCCTATCGATCGTAATCGACGAATTGTATCCACAGATACGAAGCTCGTCGATAACGTAAAGCACAGCGAATGTAATTGTAACCCGGACTTAAAAATGGATCCGTGAATTCGCCAGTGTGAACGGGGCTTAATAAAGACGTGCAAATAGTTCTTTCCGTACAGTGGCCGAGGATCGTTCGAGGTCGCGAAGGAAATAAATGACGAACAAGTATGATCGTTTTACGTTTGGCCACGAGGAAAGAGTTCGACCGAACGGATAAACTAGAATAACGAATTATTGTAAATACGAATATGCGGAGAGAATTAGGTATTGCATAAGGCAGAGCGAGAGAATGCGAGAAAGGAAGAATGAGAGAGAGAAAGAGAGAAAGAAAGTGAAAAAGAGACCCCAATTCCGAATCGTAGATAATAATGAAGAAACGTATTCTGAAGGCTGCTCGATTGACCGACTCGTTTTTTCATCGTTCATTGATGGTTCATCGTCCTTGATATTATACGCGACAACCATTGAAAATCAATGACATCACGATCAGCCAGAGAATATTGAGGGAAACGGCGGAAATAAAATTGCGTGTATAATGTTATCCATTACAGTATTGTAAGCCTAAGTATTACATGCCTCCGATCCACGTCTGTTTGTCTGTCTGTCCGTTCGTCTGTCTACAGTTTGTACTTTTTACCCATGTGTTAACCGCAATAGCAATTTCGTACTCGTATACGAGCGATCGATGATGAGAAAGCAGTTCGCGACCGATACCCGTTCCACGATTCCTAGGCATATAGGATTTATATCACATTTATCATTTCCAATTTCGTTGCTAGCCACTACGAAGATGTCTCTTTTTAGTTTCTCTCTAGTCGTTTTCGTTCATACACATAATACACAATACACGTGGAATTGTTTGTGTGCCGCTGATCAACCCGCAAATCGAAACCCAAAGACAATCACCTGCACCACTGTAAGAAAAAAAAAAAGAAGAAGAAGATATGAAGCGTTCGATGCGCTCTCTCAGCCGTAGAGATCAGTCGTCTATTTACAATAGCGTCACGATATCCTTTTTAGATACATATTATATGGTTCGTTCCCCCACCCCTCCACCCAATTTTTCACACGAGGTAGAAATATAACGAAACACGCGATTGTACAAAATGTTTCTCGTACAAGTTCGCTTTGCGGGTCTCAGGAGGATATTACATAACAGTAACGTATACCGTGCGTTCGTAAAGCGACGCGAATGTGTACAGTGCGTTACGTACATACGTTTCGATTGGGGATCGCACACCAGGCGGCGGTCCTTATGCAACAGTTGCGCATTCTCTCGAATCGTGGATGTATCGATAGGACTGCTAACGGGCGACGAATTATCGATCGACTCGATAGCGAATTAATCAGAGCCAGCGTGAAAGCCCGTAATCAATTAAACATAAATGCAATAGCAATGCAGCAAAGTTACATAGATCCAATGTGAATGGTACTCATTCTTACGGACGATAGGTGAATACAGTATAACAATAATATAGACTCGAACTATCGATAGAAAATAGACAAGGTCACTCACTGCAACTTATTTTTATTTTTCTTTCCTTCATGTTTTTTTTCTTTCTGTTTTTTTTTTTCGTTTCGACCGATCCGCTCCGAAGCACCCACCCCCCACCACCACCACTACCAACCTGCAACCTATACCAACCATCTACACAAGCAAAACCCCTATATATGTATTACCATGAACCACGTGAAACGCTGCTCCTCGAGAGTTATTTTTGTAACCGTGAACAGGGGGACAAGCATCGTCTAAGGTATTTAAATCGTTAGTAGAAAGTATATGTAGATACTCGATATAATAGAAAAAGTTAAAGACACCGGATATAACAGACACAGGAATAATCGTAACGTCGACGAGACTAAAAGGATTACCGATTAAATAAGATCGCGCGTTAAGATTAGCCTTCGCTGTTAATCGTGTATACACACACAAATACACACACATACGTTGCAGGTCGCACGTTTCGAACAGATGCATGAAGAACAAAACGAGGAACAGGTTTCACGTTCATTTTCATCCAAAGACGTTCGAACTCCCTTCTCTCACTGCGATTTTTATCGTTCATTTTCACTATTTCATTGTGTTATCCTCTCGTGTGCGTGTTTAGGAACAATGTCAAAGGAGATATAGATGGTCTTCGGGGATGAAGATTAGAGAGCACGCGACTCTGGTTGC